GATTGATTTTTTTTTTCTCACCATGCAAATATGGCGAAAAGAGGCAAACATAATCCACTTATTTCCTTATTTAAAATTGTGAAGTGTCCTTTTGTTCTTGGTCTCTGTGCAGTTTCCATATGAGCACAATTCAATATTCTGGAATTCCGAGTCTTCTCAATGTTAGTTGTAGTTTGTTGTTATCCACACAGTCAAATGCCTTTGCAGAGTCAACATAGATAGCATTCTAATATCCTGTGCTCTCAGCCAAAATTCATCTGACGTCAGCAACGTTATTTCTTGCTCCACAGCCTCTTCTGAATCCAGCTTGAATTTCTGGCAGTTCCCTGTAATGTACTGCACCAGCCATTTTTAAATTAGCTCCAGGAAGATTTTAATTAGCTTATTGTATTAGTTATATTATTTAATAATATCTGCATTTTGTTGGATCACATTTTGGGGGGAGGGGAATAGAAACAAATAAGAATCTCTTCCAGTTGGTTGTCCAGATAGCTGTCTTCCAGATTTCTTGGTTCATAGTATCCTTAACTATTGAAACTCAAGGCTTGAATTTGTTCTTCTGTTCCTTCAGCTTACGAAATGTCAGGCATGTTCTTCTCTTTGATTTTTCTAGCCCAGATCTTTGCACATTTCATTATCATACGTAGATTTGCCTTTGTAAGCCACCATTTGAAAGCTTCTATTCAACTTTTTTACATCATCACTTTTTTCATTCACTTCAACTTTCTACAGTCCCTACCTGCATAGAAACCATAAATTATAAATAAATACACTAGCTCATGAACAGACACACTACAGTGTAAAGCATTGTTTGGCTACCGTTTGTTCTTAAATTTTTTTTAATCAAGTGGAGATTATAATATTTATTTTCATAGGAAACGCTAGTTAGCTCAGTAAGAGAGATTAACCATCCACCAAAAAAGATGACAATTCCTAAGTGATTTTCCCCCACAAAACTGCACAGCTTGTAGCTTTAACTCTGCCAACATTTTTATTTCAAATAAACATCAATTAAATATGAAATTAATTATTTTTCTTATTTATCCAAGTTGCTCTGACTCTTTGAAACAAATCAGTAAGTTTATCAGCTAGAATGAGGAAAACTGCAAGATAATCCATATGGAAGACTGGATCTATTATTAATGGTGCTCTGATTTCTTCAGCTCAAGGATCTAACTACAAATCCTTTCCCCTCAGTAGCAAGGAATGAATTTCGATTTTGCAGATTTGGCTTGCAGGAGAACACTCTCAAATCAAAGCAATGACAAACTAATCACACATCATAAAACTCTTTGGCAAAGAAATGAAAATTTTTTAATTTCATCATTGTGGGCTACTGTTCTCTCTAACTCCTGAGTTTAAGATGATTGTGGCTTTGTGTGAATTAGCCAAGGATCTGTAGTCTTTCCCTGATTTCTGACTTTGTTTTCACCTTGCTCTTTACCAATAATGAGCTCTAGTAAGGCAACATGTTAAATATTGGACTGCTAAGGTAAAAGTCCATAGGACACTTGATAGTTCTAATGCAAAACATATACTTGGGCCAGGAGGCAGTCGTCAGAACAGAGCACGGGAACACTGCATGGTTCAAAATTGGGAAGGGCGTACGCCAGGGATGCGTCCTGTCTCCATACCTTTTCAACCTGTGTGCAGAACAGATCATCCGGGAGGCTGGGCTCTATGAGGAGAAATGTGGGGTCAAGATTGGTGGTCGATCTATCAACAATCTGCATTATGCAGATGACACAACCCTGCTTGCTGAAACTGAGGAGGACCTGATGCACCTGCTGCACAGGGTCAAGGACTGTAGTCTCCAATATGGATTGAGGCTCATTGTCAAGAAGACAAAGATTCTCACCACTGGGCCAACTGGAAGCATCAGAATGGATGGTGAAGAGATTGAGATTGTTAACAACTTTAGTCTGCTTGGCTCCACAGTCAACACTCTTGGCACCAGTAGCCAGGAAATTAAAAGATGCATTGCCATGGGAAAGTCTGCTGTTAGGGACCTCTCCAAAGTACTGAAGAGCAATGGTGTCTCTCTGGAGACTAAGATGCGTCTGATACAGGCCATGGTCTTTGCAATCACTTGTTATGCATCAGAGAGTTAGACAATGACCAAGGAGGACAGAAGGAGAATTGATGCCTTTGAGCTGTGGTGCTGGAGAAGAGTATTGAGAGTACTATGGACTGCCAAGAAAACAAACAGATTTATCCTAGAGAGCGTTAAACCAGGCTGCTACTTGGAGGCAAGGATTCTGAGGCTCCGTCTAACATAATTTGGACATGTTGTAAGGAGAGACCGGTCCTTGAAGAAAGACATCATGCTGGGGAGGATGGAAGGACAGTGCAGGAGGTGAAAGCCCTCTATGAGGTGGATTGATTCGGCGACTGGAATAATTGGGATGGGAGTGTCAGAGACAGTGCGATTGGTACAGACAGAGGAAAGTTTAGGGCTGTTGTACATAGGGTCGCTATGAGTCTCAAGCGACTCGACGGCACATAATAACAACAACAACAAGGTAAAAAAAGTTCATGTTTCAAATCCGCCAACCACTCCTGGAAAGAAAGTCTCCTCCACTTAAGATTTGTAGCCTTGGAAACTTGGAAACTCAATGTAGGGTCACTGTAGAAAGAGGAAGGCAAAATAAACCCACATGAGATTATACATGTCTCTCAGCCTCCTGTACCTCTTTCTACTAATTCTAATATCAATCTTACTGCTTCATTGGGTCCAAAATGTGTTGCAGTTGTGCTCACAGAGCACATGGAACCATACTCATAATTCCAAGGCTTATTAAGGAAGTCAAAAGGCTAGAATTCATGTTAGTAACAGGATAGCAGGATACATTCAGTCAGGATAGCTTTTCTTTCTCTTTTTTTTATATAAAAAATTATATTAAAAGTGAGATTAAAAAAAACATACACAAAAGAGAGATTTTATTCATTGTTGCACATTTTACCTCCCTTCCCTCTTTCTATCCCCTCCCCCAGTTCACTTTTTAAAAAAATAATCATTCCTTATTGCACAATTACCTACTTCCCTCTCCCCCCCATCCTCTTTAATGATATAGCTCTTATTCTGTGCTGTTGTTGTAAGACGTAGGGGATTGAGAGGACAATAAGGTAAGAGTGGATAGAAAATGGCCATTGCATTACAACAGATGAAAGAAAAAACGGTCTATAATGAATATATGATTAGGCATTATATGTAGGACAGCTTTTCAAATGTGTTTTCAGGCACCTTAGCCTTCAGCCTCGCAGCTTTAGGCCAGTGTTACAAAACTCTAGTTGTTGTTATGTGCCATCCAGTTGGAACAGACCCAAAGCTAATTTCTGGCAGGTTTTCAGAGGCAGTTAATCACATGGGAGGAGACTGCCAATCTTTCTCCCATGGAGCAACTTGTGGATTCAAACTTTGCATCTTCAGGATTGCAGTGCAGCTTTTTGCCCATTGTGGTTCCAGCCATCTGCCCCCTCCCATCCCAGTCTTCCAGCAACTTGGGCAAAGGTTCTTAACTCTGGTTCCGTCCCAGAAGTAGCCATCCCAGAGTCAGCTCTGTCTTCTGTCAGGTTTTCTTTTCTGGCTGCTGCTTCTAGAAGTCCTGGTCTGGGTGACGCAGGAATCTTTGTCACTGAAGGACTCGCATTCTCTATTCTCTGCTGCTTCTTGATGATGAGATTCCTAAAACCTGCTGCTGAATCTGAATGTCAAGACTAGCCACTCTCCTTGTAGATAGACTAACATGCACTATTCATGTACTCCCACCTACCCACATGGCAAAGTGAATGTCAAGAAGTAGGAAAGCCATTTCGAACAATAAGTGTTTTTAAAGTATATTTCTAACAGTGTAAACTTTTTTGTTGTTAGTTACCATTGAATTGATTCTTGTTTATGTGAACTTTTCATGTGACATAACAAACATAGCCTGGCCCTATGCCATCTTCATGATTGTTGGTATGTTGGTGTCCCTTCTTGTGCTATTGTGTCAGTCCATCTGACTGAAGATATCCTTCATTGTCCCAGACTCTCTACCAAATATCATGTCCTTTTCTAACAATAGTTGTGTTTATTTGTTTTTCTGTTTGTTTATGAAGTGCCCAGAGTAGGTTAGTTGAACTCTAGTCATTCATATTTCCAAGGAGCTTGTTGGTTTCTAATCTAAAACGGATTTGTTTGTACTTTTGGCAATCACCGGAATATTCATTGTTTCTCACCGATCTATGTTACAGAAGAAATGAAATATTTAGAGTGGTGAAGTATTTTGGTTTTGTTTCTTCATTATTTAAATGTTCTCTCCACCCCCCACCCAGGTGTTGTGTTGGGTAAAATCGATAAAATCATTCTGGTCACAAGGGCTTTGTCGTATTTTCCTTTGTGTCTCTGATTTCTGGCCTGTAGTAGGTCGTCTGCAGAACAATGTTCACTTCAAAGGTGAATGAATAGTAGAATGATTAGCTCCAGTACATTTAATTTAGCTGGACAAGGCAAATAAAATAATTCTAATAGTGAGCTAGTTCTGATGTAAATGATTGATTACAGTTTTAGTGGTAGTTGGTGTTTTGTTTTTGTTTTTTCAAGTAAAATTATTATTTTATCCAAGAAAGCTGAGCTATGACTAATAAAAGAAAGATAAGTGAAAGAAAAATATGAGCTGAGTATCAAGACGTATTTCCAATCAAGAGGTTGAGATTAAATCCATCAGAGTCCCACTAGAGGGTGTGGAGGTGGAGATTCTTACACCACACGGGATTTCTGGAACTGCCAACAACTTCAACAAGTTGCAAGGGACAGAATCTAGATTCTGACTGTGGCAAAATGATAAGTGAGATCATATTTCTAATACCATTCATTGTCTTTCTTGTGCAAGTATATGTTCACAGCCTCATATTACCCATGGATAGGATTTTTGTGTCTGCTCAATTGATCTGATTATGTTTTTCTCTTTTTTTCCAGGAAACAGCTATTTTATTAGAGTACCTCCTGGTACCCATCAGACATGTCCTCCTTAAGTGGCAACGTACAGACTGTACTGGGCCTTGTGGATCCAAGCAAACTGGGCCGCACCCTCACCCATGAACACTTGACAATGACCTTTGACAGCTTTTACTGCCCTCCTCTACCATGCCATGAAGCTATATCTAAGGAAGCTATTCTGATGAAAAATCTATTTTGGATTCAGCAAAACCCTTATTCCCTCAAAGAGAATCTTCAGTTGAACCAGGAGTTGGAAGCCATAAAGGAAGAACTGTTGTATTTTAAGGCCAAAGGTGGAGGGACTGTAGTGGAGAACACAACTACTGGAATCAGCCGGGATGTGCAGACGTTGAAGTGGTTATCTCAAGAGACTGGTGTCCACATCATCACTGGAGCTGGGTTTTATGTGGATGCAACACACTCTTCAGAGACCAGAGCAATGTCAGTAGAGCAGGTAAGAAGACCTCCATTCTCTCACAAATAAATTAATCTCTGAGGGGTACTCATTGTTAAATTGCTAGGCTAGTAGCTGAAAGACCAGATGTCCGAATCCATCCAGACACACATGCATCAGAAGAATGGCATAGGGATCTATTTCTGAAAGACCAGCCCAGTGGAGCACAGCTCAGCTGTGACTCAGATGGGGTCTCCAATGAGTCATGAGTTTTTTTGACAGCAAGTGGGGTTTTTAATATTTAATGTATAAATTCAGATTATCTGGACTTTCAGAACTTACATTATTTCTTGATTTCATCTACATTTGCAGATGTCATTGGCATAGGGGTAGCTAGACATGTTTTATAAATTTGCTAGTGAGCAAAGATGTCAACTGGGATCCAGATTGGTCATGTTTTATAAAGGAAGAAATGTAAGGAACAAGATCTTGCTTAATGCAGTGACCACCCAAAAACTCAACTTACATCTGTATGTATTTCTACCAGAGTGCAGGAGTGGCACCACCGTCTGTTTATAAACCTCTGTTTTCCATTATAAGCTTCAATTATGCAACACCATTTCCCCCCCTAGATTTTATAATAACCAGCAATAAAAATTCACTGTAGGGTGAAATTTGGCAAGCATAGACTTGGCACATTTGTGAATATATTTCCTTCTCCCTTTACAAAACAGGAGGGTAGAAGAAACTCTATTCCTCTGTTTTGTCACAATATTAAATTAAGCAGGAGTGTGGGATTGAGAAAGTAAGTTTTTAGGGGCAAAAGATAGAATTAAAAAAAAAAAGATTAAGCTCCAAAGCTTGTTTTTAATCTGTATATGTTTTCTTTCTATACATGCTTATGTCTATCTATATCTTTATACATGCATACCTCTATATGTATATGTGTGACACACACACACACACACATATATATATATGTTTGGAAACTATGGTGGCTTGATTATAAGGAGTTGCACTGCCAACCTATAGGCATGCATGTTTGAATCCAACAGCCAATTCATGGGAGACAAGTGAGCAATTTCCTCTTGTATGATTTACTGTGAAACCCACTGCAGTGTCACCTCTGAGTCAGTTAGAACTTGATAGTACATAACAACAATATACATGTATCTAATCCTTGTGTGTGTGTGTGTGTGTGTGTGTGTGTGTGTGTGTGTAAATACTGTAGGTATTATATATATTCAATTGCTCTTTATTAGGCATAAAATATCAGCTGCAGTTTTTGCATAAGATCAATGAAATAATTTGTAATAGTTGGTATTTTGAAACTTTATCTGCATTTTTAAAGTTATTAATTAAAATAATAATTTAATTAAAATAATTCATTACAATATTTCAACTTTTTTTGGTACATTTTTGTTATTTTAAAACTATACAAAAATTAGGGATTATACATCCTTCTGACCTCTCTTCGCAGTAAATATACATATGAACCAAATGTTTATATTGTGTGCTGTTAGTTTTCTATGCTGTATATGGCAAAGACAAGATAAGTAAAACATATTAAATTAATGATACAAATGGCATAAACTGACACTTATGGCAGTATTAATGTTTTAGATAGCCCTCAAGTTAGATCTTAAGGGTTTTTTTCCCCGCACTCTGCATGTTTTATATTTTACTGTTGTTTTTAATATGTATACCAAAACTGGCACCAGTTCAACTGTTTATACATATAGAATTAAGTGATATAAAAAGAACATAATTGATTGTATCCATTTTCACACCTTACCTTTCTGAGCTTATTTTCCTATTGAATGTACCATGGACTGCCAAGAAAACAAACAGATTCATCCTGGAGAGGGTTAAACCAGTCTACTCCTTGGAGGCAAGGATTCTGGGGCTTCATCTGACATACTTTGGACATGTTGTAAGGAGAAACAGGTCCTTGGAGAGAGACATCAGGCTTGGTAGAGTGGAGGGACAGCGCAGGAAGGGAAGACCCTCTATGAGGTGGATTGATTCAGTGACTGGGGTAATCGGGATGGGTGTGTCAGAGGCAATGCGATTGGCACAGGATAGAGCAGGGTTTAGGGCTGTTGTACATAGGGTCGCTATGTGTCGCAAATGACTCGACGGCACATAACAACAAGTTTGACATAGACTTACTACCCTATATGGTATCTATCTAATATATCAAGGTGCTACTGTCACTTTAATCCCATAAAGATAGTTCTTAAAAGAGCATAATTAAGGCAGATGTTTTTACTAGTTAAACAAACTATTGTTTGGTTTAAAGACAGCATCAGGGGATATTTTTGTTTTAAGATTTAAAGACTCTGTCAGGGTTCATTCAGCCTCATCAGTTCTTAAACATCTGGACTCTACAAGAATTTGAAATTGTGTTCTGCCTTTCCTCCCTTTTGAACAGAGAGTTTTCTATAGAGACTCTGATCAAAATATTCACTAATGGTTTACTCAATTTGAATGATTTTTATTTTCATTATGTAATTTTTTATTTTAATTTATAACTTCCAGAATCCATTAATTTCTCCTTAATCTTTTATTTAAAATTACTTGTTAAATTTGAAAATTTGCTAGCCAATGAAAAATAATCAATTTTCACTGGCTGTTATTGAGTGAGTTTTTAATACTTTTCTATGAAAAAAATCAAAACAAATATACACCCATGTTATGGTGCATTTAAATTGATAGTCTCTATTGTTTGTAAGATATGTCTTACTATTCCTTCCTTAGCTCACCGATGTCCTTATTAATGAAATCCTCCATGGAGCTGATGGAACCAATGTTAAATGTGGTGTTATTGGAGAAATTGGTTGTTCCTGGCCTTTGACTGAAAGTGAAAGAAAAGTTCTTCAAGCAACCGCTCAAGCCCAGGCCCAGCTTGGCTGTCCTGTTATTATTCATCCTGGAAGGAATCCAAGTTCACCATTTGAGATCATCCGAATATTGCAAGAAGCAGGTGCCAACATTTCCAAAACAGTTATGTCACACCTTGATAGGTAAGCCTTGCAAATTAATGCCAACTATAAAAAGTACCCTGAAGTGAGTTGGAAGAAAGCCCTGGCAATATGCTTCCAAAATGTCACAATCATAAAAACTTAATAGAGCACTTCTCCTCTGTAGTCAGGGGGTTACCATGAGTTGAAATTGATTTGACAGCAATTGATTTGTTGTTCTTATTTGCCATCATTTCCAACTCAGGGTAGCAACTAGTTACCAGTTGTTTGATGGAGTAAGCAAAATAATCAGATCAATGAAATTCTAATCATCTAGAAAGAACCATGAACTTTTTGGGATAAAGTTTTACAACTAATAGAAAAGTTACTGCTATCGTTTGCATTTCCTGCCTTTGTGTCATGTAGTACCCTAGATATTGTGCATAAATCATATCATTTTATTTCTTTAATATCTAATAGCCATTTAGTAATAAGAATGTAGATGTCACTTCCTACTTCAGCTCTTTATTGCAGGGCAGCTGCCATTTCTACTTGCTCAGTATTTGTCAGTAGTAAGAGTGATGAATTCATCTGCTTATATACAGGGAAAGGAAAGTGAAAGTTTTCATCCTGAGAAGAAAACCAAAATATAATTGTCCATGTTGTGTCACCTGTTGTGAATGGTCGTTGAATTATCTGAATTCTAGCAAATGTAATGTTAAGTAATAATAATACAATGTTTAGCATTTGGTTGGTTAGATTATGTGTTAGTTGCATTTAATAGGCTATAGCAAATTACAATGAAGTGATTTAACACAAGAGCATTTTTTCCCCTCCTGTGAACAGTCTCCTTCTGTGTGATTTTTAGCCACTGAAAACCCATTGGAAGTTCAGCTGTGTGTTGGTTGCAGCTAGATGGTACATAACAATAATAGCAAAAGCATAATTTGTAGAGGCCTGGATTCTTCTTTTTTTAATTTTAATAATTTTGATGAACATTTACAGAGATTTTGGAATTCCATTCATTCATTGCTGCACTTTTCTCCCCGCCCAGCCCTCCCCAACACCCACCCCCACCGTCCAGTTCGCTTCTCTCTTTGAAAAGTAAAAGAAAAACTCCCTCCCTGATACACAATCCCCCCGCACCTCTCCCACCACCCCACGTACATTCCACTGTGCAACCTTAATTGTGGACTCTTGTGATAACCATAATACCCTATCATACATTGCTTTTAAATTATTCTTTCCCTCATCTGTTTCAGTGCAGTAT